AATCATTTTCTTCCATTCTCTTCCCCCCACCAATCGTTTTTCTCATGGCCATGCATTTGCGTGAAGGCACACACATAAGCTACATCCATCAGATTCTAGACAGTGAAAATTTCTAATGATTTGTCCTCTGACCACTGCAGCAGCTATCAAAGGCTAACTGTTTTAACATGACAGCACTCACCACCATGTGGCTACTACAGTTCCCGCTCTCCCCGCTCTACTTTAAAAAAAAAAAAGTGGAGTCTGTCTGTCCCCTCCCGCTTAATGTAACCAACTTGAGACATGGCATTGATTTGATTCAACTGTTGGGTTATCTACATCTCTCACACTACGCAGTGTGAGGTCAGTTACGCAGCTTTTCCCACTTACCTACAGGCTGGCGTAATTATTAGAGCAGGGTGCTGTGGTGCGACTGTTTCTATACTTAAATATTATGTCCATAACCATAAAACATTCAATCTACATAAAGCCTAGTGTTCTGGATCTGGCCACAGTAGCATCCCAAGGGTGGTGCTGTAAAGCCGTCCAGAGCCACAATTAGATGGAGAGAGTTGGAAGAAATACTGGATGGTGGCCGGGACTGAACGAGAGTACAGCTGATGGTAAACTAATTTTGTTGGCCTGATACCCCTACCCAATACACACACATACACACAAACCACATGCTTCTAAGTGAAACACAGACACTGCACTGTGCTTTCACACATGAGAGTAGCCTCTCGAGCCTCTGAATGTAGGACGAAATCACACACTTTCCTGCTCTTTCCATCTTGCTTCTCAGCTGCTCTAACACACACTTGATCTCCATCTCAGCGAGTAAGGCATATGCTCCATCATCTGCCTCCAGGGACAAAAGACTAAATACTGGGAAGTAGTTCAGTGAGACACCAAGTGTTGGAGAAAAGTGTTGTATGATATTTGAAATGTGTTTGGAGACTTTGGAGAACATTTTTGATACAGTATACATATATATATATATTACAAATTCTCATAGCATTTTTTTAGACTTCTAAAGCTCATCTCAGCTCATTAAAATGACATAATTAGACGTTAGACCTTCATGCATGCAAAAAGGTGTAACTGTAAACTGACCTCATTTAGAATCCGCAAATCCATTAACATGCAAATTACTCCTCGCCTCTGTAAACCCTACTCACAAGTTCTCTTGTGACAAAGGGGTGGGCTACACTGCTGAAGTGTGTGTTTTGTTAAGCGGGAGAGGGCCTTAGTAGTAAGGCCTTATCAGTGCCTTATTAGTAAATCAGGAAGTCTGTAACCCAGCTAGGGCACCGTTCTGGTGGGTCAGAGGAGAAAAAAGACCTCATGTACATCCCCTCCTGCCTGGCCATGCAAATCACACACTACATTTCTTTCAAGTGCAACTGTTCTCCCTGGATATGTCTTCTTCTTCTGTTCAATGCACAATAAAACTCACCTCAAGGTGCTTTATTATTGCAGGGTAGAGACTCAACAAAAATAAAGAGAAAACTTTTTAGATGACCAAAAATGAATAAACACTTGGCGACAGTGGGAAAGAAAAACTCCTTTTTAAAAGGAAGAAACATCAGATAAAACAAGACCAGGGAGGAACAACATGTGCAATGACCAGTTGGGGAGGAGGGGGGAAAAGAGCAGAGAAAGACGGGAGAAAAGACTTGACTCACATTAAGAAGGTGAGTTTAATAACTGTAAATATTCTTAAGATAAATGTGTCAGAAACTTTCACTGTCTGAATGCAAACTGTTATTTTTTTAATGATTAACTAAGTTAAAACAAAACAAAAAGAAATTTTGAGGAGCAATGTAACCAGAGGAGCAGCTCTGCAGCAGGGCATTACATGAATTTACGACGTGTGAAATGTTTCCTTTGTTCTTCCCTGTGGCAGCTTGCTCCGGGCAATTACAGAAGGCAGTGACCTGAAGTGAGATCATTACCCCCACAACCTATCATCAGCCCACATCATTTTTGTCCAGTATGATATGATTGACGCAGGAAAACTTTTCATATGCTCTTTATCAGCTCTTGCAGTAACACGGGGTTGGTGGTAACATGAAAGTAGCTTTTGCCTTCTGCGTTTCCACCTTAAATAGCTGTTAGAAGTGTAATTTATCATCATGTTTTCCCAGTATTGTGGTAAAATCTTACACCGAGCCGTGGCACCTTGCCAAAGTCTAAATTGCTCCACACTTCTTCTGTTTTTTTCTGGGCACTCGGCCCCTGAAATAAACTCCATTTGCCATTCCATTTTGCAAACCAATTTGAGATGTAGGGTGGGGGCAGGAAAGGGAGAGGTATAGGTTAGCTGTAGTAATAACCATAAATCACCTCTGAAATGCTGCCATGTCACATGCCACACTGCACCACTAATGACCGGACCCATCTTTCACTGGGTATTTTTATCTGTGTGCCCTGACACTCGACTTCTGGAATCGTCCTCTCGTTTTACGTCGTCAGCACCTCGGCCAGGACTGAGCACAAGTTCCTCACATATCTATAAATACCAGCCAGCTAAATGGCATTTTCTCTCAACCCACCCCCTGCTTGGCAAGAACCGGGAGCTCTGTGACTTGGCACACAGACTCACAGTCCTACGCCACGAAACATCTTGGGGCTTAGCCCCCCCGCACCCCACCCCAGCGTCACCCTCCAGAGAACAGCTGGCCAAAAAAATAGATCCATCTGCCACTGCCTTCAAATTCCAAAGTGGTCTCAGTTTAATTGAAAAAGCGTCAATCGGGCTTCACAAAATCGTGTAAAACATGACAAATATCGGCACTCCGGCTCTGCTTTAGGCCGCCTGTTGGATTAACTCTTTAGACTGCTGATGTAGCTGAAGCATTAACATACCGTACGTCAGCGCATGTCGGCTCATACGCACAGGCAGTCTCACACACACCGAGAGGAACACACAAACACCTGTACATGCTTCCTTTGTGCAGAATGTTCTGCCAAGTTTTTTAAGCTTGCTGACATGCGGCACTAGAGACTGCAGTTCAGCAACAGCTTCTTGCTATTCTGGGATGTGTCACAGCACGAGGTTTTAATTCATTCTGCCAGAATGTGTCAATCACTTAGCGGCGGGGTCCAGGCCCGGGTTCTGCTGCTGGACTGAGAAGCAGGAAGGCACAACAGGCTAGGCCTTATTAAAGGAGTCAAACAAGGATTCAGCTAAACTGTGCTATTCATAGACTTTCTTCAGAGGTGGGGTGTTAGAGGGGGCGAGGGGGTAGCACAGGTAAAACAGACTGACACGTGCACAACAACAAGTTGGCTGTTTACATAGTTTAAACTAGGTGACAAATAAGAAAATGAGACTGATATTTCCAAGTGTTTATATTAAAAAGAGAGTGGGGGTACTAGTCACAGAGCACTGTGCTTCACCTCCTTTCAAGATAACACTCTAAGTCTATTTTATAAAGCATTTTTTTCTAATTGCTTTGTATTTGAAAGTAAATGCAACTACAGCTTTCTCTTTCTTCTGCCATCAGGGTACCATTTGCCATGCAAGTTCCTGTACACAAGCCATGCCAAGGGTTTGAATTTGACCCGCCCAATACGGTGCCAAAACACACATATCAGTCATCATGCGATGTCATGCCAGCTACAAATGGCATCAAATGACTTTGCACTACTTATCCTGTCCAATTCCATGTGATAAATGATGAAAAAGTTAAATTGTGCAGTAGTGTGACTTTGGAAGATGACAGACCTCATTTCTGTGCCCTGTCATTTGGTGATCACTGTAAAAAATGAACATCGTGAAAGCAGCTATGAAACTTAATGTGAGATACGTCTTTCCTTTCTTACCCACAAACACAAAGAAAGATATTTACTTACATTAGAAGGTATAGTTTTGGTAAAGGGCTGCTCCCACTTTCCTGCCTTTTCTTTAGGGCGACTTTGACTTTTTGTCTCTGGGATTGCCAGTTAAACTGCCAGCCAGTCCAACAAGGAAATTTTTTTTTGTTTTTTAGTGTTTGTGCAAAGCATTTGAAACCACAGAAACTTTGGCTCTTTTCATCTTACATAATATTACCAAGAAAACTTTGCACATAAACAAAGATTGTGTGTTTGTGAGTGCGTGTATGCGAGGGATAGTAAAAGAAAGTGGTGGAAAGCATTTTTCACTTTCTTGTATCTGTGTGTGTGTGTGTGTGTGTGTGTGTGTGTGTGTGTGGATGTATGTGTGCTTGTGTGTGTGTGTGATGTGTGTGTGTGCTGTGTGTGCGTGTGTGTGTGTGTGTGTGTGTGTGTATGCGTGTGTGAACATTAACAGGATCTCTAAAGCAACAATCAGCGATCAGTCAGAGTGGTCGCTGACATCACGATCTTAAATAAATGACAGCATGGTAAAAGAGCGCTGATCCGAAGCCAGCGGGGCCCAACAGTCGGAGAATCTATAAGCCATAACAAACAATATTTCAAATAAACAGACCCCATGGCCAAGCCTGTCATCTTTCTGGGGCGTCTCCAAAACAGTCCTGTCTGACTTTACTCTCATGCTGTTTTCTGTTTGTTTTTTCGTTGCATCTCCAGCGTGTTTTCTGGCATCGTTGTCCTCTGTCTGATCCCCTGCCTGTAACTGTATACAGATTAACCACCACATTTTCCTTTGACGTGTTTGCATAAGTTTGCATTTTTGCCTTTCATGTTTACATATGTACTGTGTATTTTTAAAAAGCTGGCTTTCTATGGATGTTGTTTTTGAATATAAAAATACAGTAAAAAGTCTATATATACTTTTGCTATACAAATTTTTTTCTGAATCCTTTATAATACTGGATTAATGGACTAATTGGAGACCAGATAGATAGATTGATAGCTAGATGTTTTTGCTCCTGTGGGATATATAAAACTGTGAGCACATCATTTGAGCCAAACTATTAATAAGAAATCATTTTGGTCCCCTCCACCCCACCCCACTCTGAACCCCATTACTTCTTTGGACTCTTGCCCGGTAGTATCCGCATGGCAGCTGGACGCATGCGCAGGAGCAATCTTCAATAATGTCCCATGCCTCTGAACTGCCTGGTGCTCAAACTTGGACGCGGACTGAAAATAATGTTGTTTCCCGCGGGAGCGAGCGTTCCGGTCACCGAAAGCGAGCCTCGGGACTCGTGTTTGAGTTTGTAAAATTGTTTTAAGAACTCTGAATAACTCACCGGCTTGTTTTTGGACTCTTGCTGATAATGGCAAGCAGTAGCTGAGTGTTTTGATCCCGGTCAGTGACAGCCTGCAGACGGCAGGGAGAGCTGTGTGGCGATCACGCAGTACTTGATTATGAGCGCTCGCAAGAAGTGAAGAGAATCTGGGAGCTGATTTCTCGCTGGGACGACAATAGGTTTAACACAGGTATGTTTAAACTAGTTTGTGTTTTCCCCAGACGGCTGTGGCTTTATTATTAGACACTTAAATTGTAGGTCAGGTGGCAGAAGCGAGAAAACTGTCATAGTTTTGTTGAGTTTGATTAATTCCGATTTAAAAACATTTATATGAAAGAAAAACAACAACAATTCAGTAAAATGTATCAGTAACATTAAAATGAATTATCCTCCATCAAAGAGTGATAGACTCTGTCCAGTTTTCTATAATATTATTATTAATATAAGTCTTTACCTTACGTTATTGTTGTTGTAAGGCCAGTGCATGCCTGTTAATAACGCTGATGTGTTAAGTATGTGTTCTCCGACTTCATCCCAGCCCCGGAATCACGGCACACCGATAGATTACCTGATATTAAACAAGTGGACAAAAAATAATAATAATAAAGATTTAGTGGTTGCTGTAATTTTTTGCTGAAACATGGCAATAAATGAACAGACAATTACGTCAGATCCTTCCCCGTAAAACTGAATAGTTGTGCAAAAGGGTTTTCTTATTAAAAAGAAAAGAATGATAAAATTACAGTCATTATTTTTTGGTGGTTATTGGTCACACATCAGTCTTTAACTGCAGGTCAGTGCGGTCCATCCTTTTTTTCCCCTCTCAGTTTGTGGACACGTGAAGGAGTTTAGTCCCCTTGGTGTCCCCTCAGTTCTTAGTCTTCATCCCTCCGCGTGTCCATGGCTTTTTCTCTCCATCTCGCCTCTCATCCCACGTGGAGTTTGTGTTTATATTTGATATGTAGGAAATGGGAATCTTATACCACTGCCGGGCTCTCAGGGCTTGAATGGCCCCTGGCTATTGGCCTGCCTCTAACAACATGACAAGTTACACGCCGACTCAAAATCTGATAGGGGCCTACTGCGCCGTAATCCATACAGATTAGATTTCACATTAAGGGCTCATACTTAAACAACGCACATTAATGCGCAAGATTTAGAGTGTGGAGAATTTTTGGAAAATTGTAAACTCCTGCACTGGCCTTCTATCTCATTTTACATTACGGCTCGGTCTAAGGATGATAATCCCACCAGAAATGTGAAATATTTAGGATTAAATATTTTAATGCAGCCAAAGGGGATTTTTAGTGGGTGTTGGCGTTTGCTAGTATATTTACATTTTTTGTTTAAATGTTTTTTTGGTTCTTTGAAATATCGGTTAATTAGAGGCCACCTTAAGGCATTAAATAATCCCGTATATAAACTGTATTTAACACGTCACATTTGTTTCTATTCATTCATTTTATTTTTCCTCTAGTGGGAGAACTCTAAGAGTATCCGTTTCATTATCTGGAAACTGTTTTATGTTGTTTAACCCTGACCCGAAACGGGGAGGGCTGCAAAACACACTGTTTTATCCCTTTTAAAATGACCAGAATAAAGAACAGCATCGCACTCTTACATTTTCCAAATCTTTTTTTGTACTTAAAAAAATGAACTCGTATATGCATATGGCATTGTTTATAGAAATGTTGCGTCAGGCCTAAACCTGCCTAGAATAAAATATTTTATTGTGATATGAAGATTTGAGTCTTCATATCAGGTAATGTGCGCTTCATTTTTATTGTATTTTTATTTATTTGTTTATTTTAACTTTTTAGGTTAAAAGCAAATGTAAATATTGACCATTTAAACGTCAGAGGCCTTAGGGTTTTTTTTTTGGGGGGGGGGGGGGGGGGTGGTAAACAGTTTAAATTTTGCACAGACTAATCCTTAACTGGTAATCTTGGAAACTGCTCGTGTCATTTAAAGATCGATAGCTGCATATAAGCGATTGCTAAGACAGCGAGGTTAAACTCAAATTTAACATATGATTTTTCCCTGCAGCCACTCCGACCAGCAGCAGTCTGCGGTTTGTTCAACATTCTCCTTCCTTCGGCTTTTATAGCGTGAAATTACCGCGGTGTAGCTATTTGGTCCACTTTCTAACCCTCTGCCGTCCCATATGTGTTTCTTATGTCGCTGTCAATAGCCATAGTGAGAAATATAATTCTCTCTTCTGGGACGCCGAAGGAAATGGCAGGCACTATTGATTCCCTGTTTAGTGTCAGGTAACTGCTGGGTGGGTTTTAGGGCCGTGCAGGGCAGCTGGGGCAGATAGACAGCATCATTTAATAAGAATTAGTTCTGACAATTAAAAAAAAAAAAAAACATCCCCTTTTAATCAGCAAAACTCCTTGTGGCTTATTTGTGCTATACTTTAATAAAAAAAAACAACAACAACTAAGGAAAACTAAGACAAATGCTCCATTACAAGCATGAAGTAAACTTTGCTCTTTGTGGGTTTACTGCCCATCACGTTTCCGCTAAAGAAGAATAAATCATGAAGGGAAGGGTGAAACCCAGCCAGATCGAATAGAAGGCTGATTATGTCCTCCACAAAGGTGAGAGAGAGAGGGCGGGAGGGAGGGAGAGGGTGGGGGTTGAGGGAAGCAGGGAGGCTTGGGCACAAATCAATTCACCTGAGAGACGCATTATTGTCTTCGGTTTCAGGCTAGGAGGAGCTGAGCGCTATGAAAAATTAAAAGGATGCCAGTTAGTTTAAAGGATCGAGCCAGAAAACTCCACAGTGCACACACATGCAAACACACTCGGCAACAAAACACTGCGCAGACTGAAGAACAACTTGGAGTGCCCCAATTTTGTGCTCATACCTGTCCATATTTTGGGAAAAACATTTTAGACCCTGATCAGTCTTTGTGGTAAAAGTAAACAAATCCCTTGTATCTGTCTTTTAGAAAGAGCAACACACTTGTATGCACATTGTAGTATTCACGATTACAGTCAAAAAGTGTTACAGTAAAATAAAAAGTGTATTTTGATGGAGAACTTGAGATAGGTACAGTTAGTGGCACTCTTTACCACATTGCTGGGAACAACAGATCTAATGACGGGGAGGACCTTTGTGTTTGCAGGTTGTGTGTGTGTGTGTGTGTGTTTGCAGCTTATTCTTTTTTCTGACGCCTTTTGCGCAACATACCAGAAAGGAGCCATTCAGTGTCACCCTGTTGGGATAATGGCACCTTTTTCCATTGTTTTGTTTTGTTTTTTTGCAGTCCTTTGTTGCCGCGTCACTCCGTGCGTGACAGTAGCGACAACAAGACGAGGACGCATTGTAGCTTCTGTCCTCATCTGGCTGATCGCAACACCTCATCTTCGCTTAACTTGTAGACAATCACCTCAGGCTTCTCCGAACTCCTCCGCCAACCTGTCTCCTGTCTAGTATTAATAGGGTCACTCACTATCTTCGTGCGCTAGCCAGCCACTGTGTCTGTGGTCCAGAGGCAGCCAAGCGGCCCTATCACTTACACTTCTCCATTTTCATTGTTGATATTTACTTCTGCAATTATCTCTCCACTTCACCCTCGGCTGAAGATGATATGCTGAAGTTAACGCTGTCGCTTCCCTCCTTCGCTCTCCTGTTGCTCACACATAAACGCAGTGACTGAAGGGCTAACCGACAGATGCACACACACGTACAAAGTAACTTAAATGCTGAACCGTGCGCGATTTCATTCACGATATAAGCCATGAAAACTCCCAGAAGAGTGGTTTGTTTTTGCTGGAATTTTGGTGGAAAACATCTCAGTCTATCAGATGATCTTGTTTACTTTTAAGTAAACAAAGCGTCACTTTTAGGCTTCTGACATCTATTTTATTTCCCTATTTTCTTTTTTGGCTTTCAAGTGTGTGGCAGATCAAAGCCAGAGGAGCCATGGAGGCCTCACAGGACCTCAGCGAACAGATGGTGAGTTAAAGGCTACTGTATGTAAGTGTGTGTGGCTGAGCGAGTAAGTATACCTTGTATCGGCCACACAAGTGTGAGGAATGGGTGCATTAGAGACATACATTGTGTGTGTGTGTGTCCAGGCTAATACACAGCAGCTGTGTTTCAGTGAGCGTACAGTAACCATATGGCACCAGTCAGAGTGAATGAGACTTCAGGAGAAACAATGTTGGGCATAGATGTCAATTTAACAATCATGTGTGTGAATTTTGTGAGCCGAAGTGTGTAACGCAATTCAAATCACTCATTAAATTGAAAAAGGAGGTAATTTTTATCTTTATCTTTTACATTTCAGTCACACACTGACACAGACACACAAACACACACGCACACACACACACTACACTTGAGCCCGAGGGTTTGTGAGCGTCCCAGGACAGCGGGCCATCTCTGCGTCACGTCAGCGCAGCGTCCCAGTTCTGCTTGTTTAAAGATCAGGCCGTATTGTTGGGAAAATGATTTTGGCGGCGAGCGAGGGCCACTCGCATTTCAAAGTCGTTAGTCAGCCACCAGAACAGGTGTAATTTCATCTTCTTCTCCTCCTCCATGAAGCAGCGTTCTCTCTCCCTCCCTCTCTCTGACCTGCCAGCCTCGACAGTAATAATAGCGCAAAGTGGGACAGAGCCCACGAAGTATGTTGTTTTTTTTTTCCCCCCCGACTTTTTGTGCTGCTCTGTTAGCCTCACTTCAGGTTGGATTACAGGCGGACCCCAGCGGAGTACATGTCACTCATACATAAAATGCACGCGCACACACGCACAGACACGCACACTAAAGAACACAAAAACACAGAAATAAAGAGAGAACAGAGAAAAACATCCATCTTGTCTTGCCGCTATCGCGACATCAAATATTGATGTACATATTCCACAGTTACTTCACCTACTTTAAATAGGGCAGTGATATCATCTATAAGTGAATTTGAGCTGCGGCTCAAAGACATTGATTAATTGTTCGTGTTGGAAATGAGATATCGGAGCAAGGACAGAGATTTTTATTAGTTCGATGGTTTTATAGGCTCAGATTTGTGACTTCTAAAATGTTCAGGCTCAGCATTTTCTGTAAAGGGGCCAAAGCTTACTTTGTAACTTGGACAACCGGAGAATTCAGGTGTGTTGGTATTTAGGAAACTCGGTATATGGTTTCCACATGTGGACATAGCTAAAATCAATACAGGTCAATATAATAGCCCTGCACTAACACTACTTTCAGTTATTGGAAAAATTGAGTGATATTTGGGGTCATTAGTTCCAGTTCTAACACCCGACAGTATGCTGTAACTGTACTTAAGGACTGAGACTGAATTACTATAAGGTGGCCACTGTTTTCAGATATATGGCTAAACTTTGAACTGCAGTCTAATTTCAAAGGTTTATCAAAAAGATAAAGAAAACTGCAGTTTCATCTGAAACTGTTAAAACAGCTGACATATGCCATTTTTTCCTTTTAAAAACGGTTCAAAATATGTCAACCTCAAATACATTCAACCTCTTTTTCAAGGCTTTAAATGGAAATTTAATTTGTAGCTTTGCTCGTATTGTTTCAGTCTGATTACAGCTGAACCTTTAAACCTTTGATTCTAAGTATGAATGACAGCTTTAACATCTGACTGAACATTTTAAATTATAAACGTATCCTATACTTGTAAAAAAAATTTCAAGCTTTCCTTTTGGTTTTAGTCTTTAAACTGAAATTGGCTAATTCTTTCCCCGCACTCCTTCATTGAAATAGGCGTGTCTCGGGTGACTAAGAAAACAACTCAGACCTCACACACAAGGTTTCGGGGAGTTGTCTGTTGATATTTAATACCCCCACTCCTCCTCTTTACCCTTTAAAGTACCCTTACTTCCTCCACCCCGCCCTTTTCCCACCACATCCATCGCACGTCATCTGGGTTATGGTCAGGCGTCCTCTCTGGCCGCCTGCCTGTCGAGAGCCAGCCTGCCGTCTGGGGTCCTCTGGGAGCGCTGGAAAGGAGCCTGAGATGGCGCTCGCAATGGTTCGCTCCGAAGCGCTGCTTACAGCTTCTTGAGGTGTTTCGCTCCACCTGTTGTCGCATATTTTGTTTCGCTTTGGAGAAAAGCTGTTGTTTTTAGGTGATGCTCTGTGAGATGATGTCGACGAATACAACGATTTGTATTTTAATTCAGCTGTGAACATTAAGGAGATTGGATTGACAGCTCAGCATCAGTCATTCAGTGCACACACAGAAAACAGAAAACGCATACAAACTCCATACACAGTCTCAAGAGCTCCTGATCCAACAGACCTCCGATTGAAGTCTCCAGTCTTTGGCTTGGTGGAGGTGGAAGCAGTAAGAGATGGGGGAGCAGGAGCATTTGTTGACCCCAGGGAGCTTTGCAGGATTTGAAATGTTGAGCCACCTGAAGGGAAAAAAAAGTAAGAGAGATGGAGAAGAAGGAAAAAGCGTCTGAAACACGAGGGGAAAGGGTTCTTTTAGCTTTAGCCTTTTCCTCTGGTGCACTGGGAGAGGCCCCTAGTATGGCAGCTGTCCTAGTGTGTGTGCATGTGCGTGAGACACAGAGCGAGAGACCAAGTAGGAGAAGGAAAGGGGTCAGGTTGCACCCCTCTTTCACCCCTACAACCCCATACAGACACATTCACACAAACTTACATGCAGCAGCAGTAGCTTAATATGACTACAGCCCAACCCTGATTGCTAAGATTGAACTGGCGTCATAGATGGCCGTTTCAAAATCTGCCCGGCAACGGGACAGATCACTGAAGTGTAGAGTGTAACAGCTACCCCACTGGCATCCCTCTGGTAGGCTGGCATCCTAGCTGGGGCACCGAGGGGCACTTCAATTTCAGCTTGGTGTACAGTGCTTCTCCTAAGATTTATGTGTAGCTGACAGCTGAGTGTTGCTGAGTGAGTCTTCTCTCTCTGTGCAAGAAACGCTGCAGATTATTTTGATCAGCACAGGAGAAGGCAGAGGAGTAGGGAGAGCAGGATATGAAATATGGCATGCACAATGTAGACAATAAATGCTAAATGATATTAAACTGCATGCAATTGCAGAGAAACCGTGACAAGAAAACCAAGCAAATGAGAGCAGATTTAGAAAATCATAGCATAATAGCAGGAGTTATGATAGTTTTAAGATTGCATGCAGAAGAATGCTCAGAATTTCAGTATGTACATATATTTAATTGAAGGAATGCCTTTCAAGGACCGACAAACTCTGAGCCTCCATCCCAAAGTTTATATTAATGTAGTATTCAGGTTGACTAAACATTATATTGTTAAAGCTACAAACTTTAGCATGAGCCCAATATGGTAAGTGCTTACAATTTTAGCGGGAAATGCTAGTTTTTGGCCAATGAGTTAAATTGGGCTTACCATGGCAACACCGTTTGATCTAAATGGTGTGTGGGGGGAACAAATTCACTGAAAAGTGTGTTAAACAGTTGGACACATGTTTCATCTCTAAAGGACTTCTTTCCCCAGTCACTAAATCACCCATCAGCACCTGAACCGCTAAATAAGCTAAACCTGTTGTTGCACTGGTGCAACAATGGATAAGACTCACAACAGATTCCCAACAGCTCCACCCATGTGGCGATGCATAGTTGCGCGTTACTGTAATAAAGATGTAGGGAAGTGCACAGCACAGTGTTTTTCCTTGGCTTAGTGCATCCATAACATGAATCGTCCTGGTGCTGTGAAGGGAGGGTTGTTTACTATGTTAGCCTTCATGGAACCTGCAGAGGGAAAAAAAACACCCCAACCCCCTTTAAACATTATTTTATGTCCAAACTTTAAACTGTTATAATGTGTTATTGCATATCAAACAATGAATAATTGATTATTTTACTGTGTGTTGTTTCCTCCCCTCTTTGAATTTAAGTAATTGAATCAGTCTTTTTTTTGTTCTTCTTTGCCAAATGTTGAAAAACGGGCAAAATCAGCACAGGTGATCGTTGATACAGGATCTTACTTTTGGAAAAAGAATTTCTACCGAGCTTTGTGTGTTCACATTGTTATTATTTAAGATGCGTGAAACAACCAAAACATCTGTCTTTCGCCAAAAGCCCTTCAGTCTATGCTTTGGTACAGATAATTTATAACTCGTATATGAGAATAGAGTGAGAGTCTGTCTGGCCAGAGAAAGGCAGCTAGGTGTGAGGTCAGCGGGTCACAGACAGTCCCTGAGCCACTCAAAGCCTGACAGAGTCAAAGCCCCCAAAACAGACTGGAGAATCCATCTAGAAGCCAGAGCAAGTGGCGTGGGTTTTCTAGAAGAACACACCAGACAGGAAACCACATGATATGTGTGCTTTAGTGTCTGGTGTGTGAGAGTACGAGTGTGTAGGTGTTTCTTTCTCTGTTATACGCATATACTCTCTGTGGTGTGGGTTGGCTGAGGTCATCTGAGTGGAGACTGTCTAATACTGTGGCCATGCTTGTTTAATGGAAGTCAATCAGGGCTATGTATTTCTTGCCAAGACTCATCACTTTATTGATTACTCTGAGACTTCTCAAGAAAATCCCTATATTGCCAGATGTGACATTTTAACATAGTTGGTTATTATTTCTTTCTTTTCTTTTTTTTGTAACTGACGTGCTAAACTGATGCTTTGAATTTGCTCCGTAAAGATAAAACACGTTTAAAATGTAAAAGCATAACCCCAAGAAGAAGTCATTATTAAAATAGTAAAACATTTTCTTCTTTGTTTGCAGTAACTTCCATAAATAGAGCCGTCGATATAGCCCACCTTTTGTTCGGCCCCAACTTCTGGCTAATGCTCATCTGCCATTGGTTCCAAAAAGAGGAGCATATTTCCTCATTTTGCTGGGAAGGAAATGAAATTGCAACAATTGTGCTTTGGTAACGGAGGAACCTTCTGCCTCGCCTGCCGCAAGAACTTCCTCTGTTGCTCTGCTGGGAGATTGGATTTCTTTCTCTGCAGCAGCGCAGAATCAGAGAGGTGGGAGAGAG